GTATGGTGGTATACATGTAATCCCAGCACTTTGAGAGGCCAAGGCCAGTGGATCACCTGAAGTCAGGAGTTCGAGATCAGCCTAGCCAACATAGCAAAAGCCCGTCTCTACTAACAATACAAAAATTAGTCAGGCATGGTGGTGTACGCCTACGGTCTCAACTACTTGGGAGGCTGAGGCAGGGGAATTGCTGGAACTCAGGAGGCAGAGATTGCAGTGAGCTGAGATTGTGCCATGGCACTCCAGCCTGGGTGACAGAGCGAGATTCCATCTCTAAAAAAGGAGTATGTATTTACAAAAATTAGCCAGGTGTGGTGGCACACACCTGTAGTCGCAGCTCCTTGGGAAGCTGAGGTGGGAGGATGGCATGAGCCTGGGAGGTCAAGGCTGCAGTGAGCCAAGATGGCACCCACCACACTCTAGACTGGGTGACAGAGCAAGACCCTGTCTCAAAAAAAGGGTATGTACGAATATTTGAAAATTGTTGGTCAGGGCCGGGCACGGTGGCTCATGCCTGTAATCCCAGCACTTTGGGAGGCCAAGGCGGGCGGATCACAAGGTCAGGAGATCAAGACCATACCGGCTAACACGGTGAAACCACATCTCTACTAAAAATACCAAAAAAATTACCCGGACCTTTAGTGGCAGGCACCTGTAGTCCCAGCTACTCGGGAGGCTAAGGCAGAAGAATGGCGGGAACCTGGGAGGTGGAGCTTGCATTGAGCCAAGATCGCGTCACTACACTCCAGCCTGGGCGACAGAGCGAGACTCTGTCTCAAAAAATAAATAAATAAATAAATTGTTGGTCGGGCATGGTGGCTCATGCCTGTAATCCCAGCACTTTGGGAGGCCAAGGCGAGTGGATCACAAGGTCAGGAGTTTAAGACCAGCCTGACAAGCATGGTGAAACCCCGTCTCTACTAAAAATACAAAAGTTAGCCGATTGTGGTTGTGGGGGCCTGTAATCCCAGCTACTCAGGAGGCTGAGGCAGGAGAATGGCTTGAACCTGGGAGATGGAGGTTGCGGTGAGCCAAGATCACGCCACTGCATTCCAGCCTGGGTGACAAAGCGAGACACTGTCTCAAAAAAAAAAAAAAAAATTGTCAAAGCCAGGTGTGGTGGCTCACACCTGGAATCCCAGATCCCAGCACTTGGGGAGGCTGAGATGGGGAGGATCACTTGAGGCCAGGAGTTTGAGATCAGCTTGGGCAACATGGTGAGACCCAGTCACTACAAAAAAAAAAAATGAGCCAGGCATGGTGGTGTGCACATGTACTTGGGAGGCTAAGGCAGGAGGATGGCTTGAGCCAAGAAGTTTGAGGCTGAAATGAACCATGATTGCACCACTGCACTTCAGCCTGGGCAATAGAGCGAGACTCTGTCTCAAATAATATAAGTAAATAGGCCGGGCACAGTGGCTTATGCCTGTAATCTCAGCACTTTGGGAGGGTGAGATGGGTGAATCACCTGAGGTTAGGAGTTCAAGACCAGCCTGGGCAACATGGCGAAACCCTGTCTCTACTAAAAATACAAAAATTAGCTGGTCATGGTTGCAGGCACTTGTAATCCCAGCTACTTGGGAGGCTGAGGCAGGAGAATTGCTTGAACCCAGGATGTGGAGGTTGCAGTGAGCAGAGATCACACCACTGAACTCCAGCCTGGAGGATAGAGCAAGACTGTGTCTCTGAAAAAGAAATAAATAAAAATAAATAAAAATTGTCAATAGATTACCAAATAACTCACCAAAAAGATTGAGCTGAGCTCATTAATTCCTTGCTGTAGTGTGGGTTCTGTGGTGATTTTATTGTTATAATATAACACCAGGCCACATTGTCAGTAACTTCTCAAAATGTTGGATGAATGGACACCTGGTAGGGTAAAAAGTCTGCCTGGTGCGGTGGCTCATACCTGTAATCCCAGCACTTTGGGAGGCCAAGGCAGGCAGATCTGTTGAACTTAGGCGTTTGAGACCAGCCTGGGCAGCATAGGGAGACCCTGTCTCTACAAAAAGAATGAGCAGGGTGTGGTGGCTGGTGTCTGTAGTCCCCACTAAGGAGGCTGAGGTGGGAGGATCCCTTGAGCCCAGGAGGTGGAGGTTGCAGTGAGCCAAGATCACACCACTGCACTCCAGCCTTTGCTGCAGAGTGAGACCCTGTCTGAAAAAATAAAGTCTGTTTACTCAAAGTATTGCAGATTGGATATTATAAATCTTTTTAAAATTTGCCAATTAGTATATGAGTATATGAAAGAACTCTGTTTTAATTTGCATTTCTTTTCGTATGTTTTAAGTAGAGTAACATTTTAAATTTCTTTTGAAGGCTGGGCGCAGTGGCTCATGCCTATAATCCCAGCACTTTGGGAGGCTGAGGTGGGAGTTTGAGACCAGCCTGGCCAACATGGCGAAACCCAATCTCTACTAAAAATACCAAAATTAGCCAGGCATGGTGGTGCACACCTGTAGTCCCAGCTACTTGGAAGGCTGAGGCAGGAGAATTGCTTGAGCCTGGGAGGCAGAGGTTGCAGTGAGCTGAGATCGTGACACTGCAGTCCAGCCTGGGCGACAGCTAGATGCTGTCTCAAAAAAAATAAATAAATAAAAATAAATAAATTTATTTTGAGTCATTATTACATGTCAGGCTCTATCCAAAGCATTTAATGTATATTATCTATGTTGTCTAATTTAATCCTCAGTGGCTCTCATATGGTAGATATTATTCTCATTCTACAGATGAGAAAACTGGAACTTGTTTCACAACTTTGCCCAAAACTGTAGCTGTAAGTGTGAGGGGCCTGCCTCTAGACACCATGAAGATGCAACACTAAGCTATACTGGACTGGGGTCATGTATTTTATTTTCTGTGAATTTGGGGAAGAAGAGAGTTAAATGGAAGAAAGAAAAAAAACTTACAAATACTTTTAGGATAGTAGTTTTTTGGATACAGTTGGTATTGTTTGAAATGAATGATTAAAACTGTACTTCTTAAAATTCACTGCTTGGGATGGGCTGGTAATAGTTTTGAGGTTACTCTCATTAGGCTTCAGTGTATAGTACACTACACCCCATTTTCTTGGGAAATGAACAGCAACATCTACTCTGTTAAAATCATTATACATTGTGTCTGCTTTCAGATTTCTTCCTTTTAGTAATTAGTGTTGTGTATGTGTTAGAATTTTTTTCTGTCTTTACTGAAACACACCCTTTGGAATTCCTTTAGCGAATACACTCTTTAGGGTGGATAACCTAATAAGCTTTCCTCTTCGAGTTTTCAGTTTTTTAACTCAGCACAGCCTTGGAAGTAGGGATTTAATTTTCTGTCAAGCTCTGCATCTCACAAAGCAATAGTTACTCAAAACACGATTTTCAAGAAGGTTATTCTTTTTAAGCTTTCAGCAGATGAGTTGAGTAGCAGTAGGAAAGCAGTTATGGAGAACTGTCTTGATTTTTTGGTGCTGCTATTGAATAACATTGCAGCTGTCTTAAATCCTGAATGACACAGAAGCTTATGGCTGGTCTTACTACATAGCACCTTGATAGTGACAGGGCTTTTTGTTTCTATCTGATTTCTGTTTTTCAAAAATAAAGCTCCTTATTTTTTTCCTATCATTTTAAGTATTCTTCAGCTTCCTATCACTAATACGTAGTCTCAGCAATAGAGACCAGTTAAAATAAACAGGCTGAGGAAAATGTTGATAGCATGTAGGAGAGATTTTGGAGCATTTGTTAAAAGTAAACATAGGGCTGGGCATGGTGGCTCACTCTCCCTTGTAACCCCAGCACTTTGGGAGGCCGAGGCAGGCAGATTGCTTGAGGCCAGGAGTTTGAGACCAGCCTGGGTCTTAAAAGGTAGATATTATTCTCGTTTTACATATGAGAAAACCGGAGCTTGTTTCAAAAGTTTGCCCAAAATTGTAGCTGTTAGTGTGAGGGGCCTGCCTCTAGAGACCATGCAAATTCAACACTAAGCTATACTGGACTGGTCTCACATAGTGAGACCCTGTCTCTACAAAAAGTAGAAAAAGTAGCCGGGCATAGTGGCCCACACCTGTAGGTCCAGCTACTTGGGAAGCGGAGGCGTGAGGATTGCTTGAGCCAAGGAGTAAGCCATGACATGCCACTGCACTTGGGCCTGGACAACAGAGCAAGACCCCGTCTCAAAAAAAAAAAAAGAAAAGAAAAAGTAAAAGTAGATACACAAGGAACTAGCCAAGTAAAAAATAGAACACTAAGCAGTTACTAATGCTGGGGAAAATTGAAGGATTGTACAAAAAAGTATCATTGGGTCAGGCACAGCCACTGATGCCTGTAATCCCAGCACCTGGGGAGGCCAAGGTGGGCGGATCACTTGAGGCGCCAGGAGTTCAATACCAGCCTAGCCAACATGGCGAAACCCCGTCTCTACTAAAAATATCAAAAGTAGCCAGGCTTGTTGGCATGTGCCTGTAGTCCCAGCTACAGGCCAAGGTAGGAGGATCGCTTGAACCTGGGAGGTGGAGGTTGCAATGAGCCGAGATTATGCCACTGCACTCCAGCCTGGGCAATCTTAGACTCTATCTCAAAAAAAAAAAGTATGATTGGTTTTAGTGCATTATTTAAATTATCAGTGAGTAGTGTATCATGATATACTACTGATTAAACCAGAATATGTGATATTATTGGTATAGGGCAGGGGGAAACTAAATCTTCACCTTGCAGACAATAGATAATGGCTGGAATAAACTAAGAAAGCAGTAAAAGCACATTCTTTAGAAATACTGTATCCATTTTGTGCATTGACCACAAGATTAAAAAACAGAAAAATACTCTAAATACAAAGAGAAAGCAAAAAACAAAATTGAGAGTGATCGCCTGTGGGTGTTGGTAGGGAGCTGCTCTTTTTCATAAGCCTTTTAAAACTCTTACTTTTAAAATTATGTACATGGGTTAGTTTGATCAAAATAACTACAGAGAGTGTAAGTGAAGGGCATTTAAGGATACACAAAAATAATACTCTCTCAGATCAACCTCTGCATTTTTTAATATTTGCTGGGATTCTTTCTTTACTTCCCCTGTTACAGCCAGCGGCGCCACATGGAAGATCTTAGGTATGGCCTGAAGGAATAAACGTTGATTTGGTTTATTAGTTACCTGCAGCAGAATGTTTGGCTTTCAGAATTTGACTGAAGGACTCATTATCAGACGATTTATTTTCTTTTTGATAATAGTTATCTCGGTCTAATCTTAATATTCCCCACTGGCTCACTACTTGGTCCATTTGCAGCTATGCTTGATTAGTGCCCCAATTGTCAACTTTAGAACAAAGGAATAATAATCACTTGTGCCCCTCAAATGAGCTACTAGGTCATAATTATCCAAGAAAGGTGTCACTATAAATAATCTGTCCCAGTTCTGTTGTTTTCTGCTTTTTAGCAAGTATGAAAACAGTGACCGAGCTAACCAGAACAAAGCTTTATTTTTCTTTAGTTATCCACAGATCTAGGTTGTGTCCTATATTCATGGCTGGAGACGCTTCACTACACCAGTGATTGTACTACTGCCAGTTCATCATCACCTGATACAGTATCTCAGGGTTCTCACAGAATCTTTTACCTGCAACATGCAGTTTGCATCAGTTTTATACTCTGCTTGCTCTAAGAAGCTGTGTGCAAGGTGACTGAGAGAGACTTCACTTTAACTTTCTTTGGGCACCATCTCCCTGCACTTTCTTTCCCAAACAAGATAGTTGGCAGCTCAGATTCTGAAAAAGGGATTCCTTTCAAGTGTAGATTAGGACTTCAGCTCTGCTCCTTAGGTTAGTTAGAAATAATGTGGAGCTATTTCTGGAGTGCTGAGCCTTGGTCATTTATTTCATTCCTGGTGGGGACCCCAGAGTGTTGGGGATCTGCAGGGGAAAGAGCCTTATGCAAGAGCGTCATCCCCACTATTTCCACCGTATGCGGCTCGGAGCTGTGATCTTTCTCTGGTTACCTGAACTTGGCGATCACAACATGGGAGTGCTGGGGGAAAGCCGCCAGTGCTTGTAGCAGTAAATGGATTGAAAAAGCAGTTCCTATGTTTACTTACTCCTGCTCTCCTGGGAGCAGACCATGGTTTAGTTTCGAGATGAGTGCACCAGCTCGAGACCAAAGAGTCTTGCTTTGCTTGCTCTTGACTGTGGAATAGGGAAGCCAGCATTCTCAGAAGACCAGAAGGGAAGGTGGGGGGAAGGGAGGGAGACAGGCCTGTTTAACCGAGAAGAGACAGGTGCCATCCCCAGGGTGAGGCCTTCCTTTCAGTGGACCGTATTTGGTGCTGGAGAAGAGCCTGTGAGGAGTGAAGGAGGAAAGGCGGAGACTGAGCGGGACTCCAGCCGGTTCCTGCACGCAGTGCACACCCAGCGGAAAGGAAGAGGAAGTGTGTTCAGGAATAGCTCAGGCAGCTGTGCCATTGGCCGACAGGCCTGTCAGTCGCCTGGGGGCTGAGGCTGAAAAGAGGAAGAAGTGGGGGGGGGGGCCGTTGCCTGGAAGGGAGGGAGGAGGGCTGAGCCAGGCCGAGCCAGGGGGCGTGGGGGCTGGGACAGCAGGCCGATTGGCAGGGCGGGGTTGCCTTCAATCCTGGCCACTTCTCTTAATCGTCCCTCTCCTGCTTCAGGGTGGCATTGTGTGTCCCAGAGTGCCGGAGCGAGTCCCAGAAGAGAGGCGAGGCTAAGCCCAGAGCGCTGGGTTGCTTCAGCAGGGAAGACTCCCTTCCCCCTGCTTCAGGCTGCTGAGCACTGAGCAGCGCTCAGAATGGAAGCCATCGCCAAATATGACTTCAAAGCTACTGCAGACGACGAGCTGAGCTTCAAAAGGGGGGACATCCTCAAGGTAAGTGCTGATGCCGAGCACAATGCTGAGATCGCTTTCCTTGTGCTCACTCACCTTCTTTCGCCCTGATTACACACAAAGAAGCTGTGTTTTTCATTGTAGACTTTCAACATTTACCATCATATTTGATCTGGAGAGCTTGAGATAGATGCTGAGTAGAATATTAAATATGACTTAAGTGAGTTGGTGTGATGTGTGGTCTTTAACTGCCTTTGTGTGAATGCTTCAAGTATTTGTTTGTCTGTTGATACTGGTAATATTTCAAGTAAAGTCAAAATAGTGTGATTGTAGAAAGGAAGTATATGAGTAGATTGATTTGCCCTGTAGAGTTTTTATTTTAAAAATAGCATTTTTAAAAAAGACCTAGACTTGAAGTATTTATGTAAAAGCATTCAGTTAGTCTTATATAGCCAAAAGATTTTGCTTTCTAGAATATGATTTTGGTAGGTTAGAAATTAATTTTCCCAATTTAGAGAGGTTGTTAGAAGTGCATACCAAAACTCATTAAAGAACCTCAGTGTATTTTTATTCTTTGTGAAAAAACAAATGGAGTTCAAAATAATAAGGTGCAACCTGCTATTGTACAAGTCAGATTTCCACTTTCTTAAAAGAAACTTGAGGAGCAATTACCCCATATTAAACTCTAATTGCACGAAAACAAACCTGCTGACAGTTTAAAAATCAGCTTCTATACCGTGTGCAGCTTATTTTGAGCCCCACTATTTATGTGAGGATTTGCTCTCCCCCAGCACATGTTAATTATGTTGTTTACCCAATTGACGGGAGCAGTTTGCCCTTTTGGATGTGTAATTTATTTTAACGAGGATGAGTGTTATCAAAGAGTATGTTAATTTTAAAGGAGGAAAGTCTGAAGCTTAATGTTTGAGTGTTTCCTGTGTCTCAAGTTTTGACATTTTTCCTTCAGAGCCTTAGACTGATTGTTGGAATTTGCTACCTCATTTGTTTACTACTCCTGAATGAAATTCTTAGAGTTTTGTAAAGAGAAAGCAAGTGGAGATGTAGAAATACAGTTCTTTATAAAAGGACATGCAGTTTTTTTACTTTTAAGTTATGTGGACTTATTGATAGTCTATTTTGCCCTCATTGCCCCAAGTGTAGAGTTCTACTCTGAAGTTAACTGCCCAGGAATTTCTTAATGTTAGAAACATAGGTTGAGCCTCATAGAAGGTGATGCTGCAGAGCCGGTTAAAGAGAAGAAAGCTCTGTGTCTGTGTGTTCATTTCAAAGCTGTGTTTGTGGCTTTTCGGGGATATTCTCAAAGTCAGCACTCAATTGTCAGGAAGCAGAAGGAACCAGCTCTAGGTTTCTATTTTCTTGGACTAGAGAAAATATGCCCAGCTAGAGATCAGGGCAAAGTTAACTTAGACTACAAAATTGCTCAGTTTTCATTGGTGTATGGAAGAGGAAATTTGATGTTTCTGTGGGTGATTACTGTTTTCCGCAGATAACCTACTTGTGATGGTATAAGACAGGCTACTCAAATGCCGCCATTTATAACCTGTACAAAAACCCTTTTGGGCCAGTATTTTTTGTTTGTGATATAAACTTAGATTTCATAAGTTTATCTTAGAAACTTGAACCTAGAAGGCTGGTAGTTCATATTTTTCTCCAAATCTGTCCCATTGCACATTAAGCACTGAAGCAACAAATTAAAACAAAACTAGGGACATGCGGTCTCTTTTTAATAATTTTTTTTTTTTTTTTTTTTTTGAGACAGACTCTCGCTCTGTCACCCAGGCTGGAGTGTGGTGGTAAGATCTGGGCTCACTGCAGGCTTCACCTCCCAGGTTCACACCATTCTCCTGCCTCAGCCTCCCGAGTAGCTGGGACTACAGGCGCCTGCCACCACGCCCAGCTAATTTTTTGTATTTTTAGTGGAGACGGGGTTTCTCTGTGTTAGCCAGGATGGTCTCCTGACCATCTCCAGACCGTCTCCAGGATGGTCTCCTGACCTCGTGATCTGCCGTCCTCAGCCTCCCAGAGTGCTGGGATTACAGGCGTGAGCCACCGCACCCAGCCTCTTTTTAAGAATTTTTAAACAAGAACTTTCCCTGATTTCTGTCTTTGAAGTTTGTCCTAGACCTAGACCATGAACATTTTATAAATTCTTTAACTTAAATTAGTAAACTCAGGAACAAGTGTAAAAACCTTCTCTCCCATCCTTTTATTAGGGAAGAAGATACTGTTTAACGATCCCTCAGAAATTTTTATTATGGAGGAGAAAGTAAATCAGAATATTCATGTTCACTTTCAGATTTTCTTTGAGGAGACAGAAAAATACATATATGTGGTTCTTTTCAATTTGGTAGATAACTGAGATATGAAGTCATAATGCCATTATTGCTTTTGAACTGTGGCCATTAGCTGTTTGTTGGTAATGTTGTGGCTTTACTCCAAAAGAAAAAAAAAAGAGTGACGATACAGTAGTTGCCCTTTGTCTCATAACTGTGTGAAATGGCTGGGTGAAGAGGAGGAACATGCTTTCTTAAAAGCTATTAGTTAAAAAAACAGAGTTTTTCTCATTTGATTCTTCCTTTGGATAGCTTTGATTTGGTAAGTCTTGAGGGTATTAATTGTAAGCCAAAACATGTTTTAAAAGTTGCTGGAATAGCATTGACCAATTTAACTTTCATTGAAATAGGCATATATATGCATGCCTCTCTTGATAAAGGAGATGTGCATATGGATATTGAATAAGTTTCATTTCAAGATAATGAAATAGAAAGGCACTTAGCCTTCACCCTCTGACTATAGTTCAGAAGGATCACATCTTCTCGTGTCTTGGAGTTCCTGGTTAACTTTTAGTTAAAAATGGTGACTCCTTTCCTCCAGCACACCCCTTCCCTACTTTCTGTCTACACATTGACCTGTTACTGTCCTGAGAAAAAGAGGAAAAAATAAAAGCATTTTCCTAAAATAGAGTTGAATGGTTCAATATGTCTGCCTTTGTTTCTCTGTCTTACAAAAGCTTGTGTTTTTCTTGGCTGGGGGAGGGAGAGGACACTGAGATGTAAAATAGAAGGAATTGCCCTTCCTCTGTAGGTTTCAGGCCTGGTGTGGTTGGAATAAATCAGAATTCCTCCCACCATTGTAGGGCAGACTTGAGACAGTCCCGGAGGTTCTCCACTGACAAGACCCCTAAATAGTCTACACTAGAGCACATAAAACTGGATGAGCTTACCTAGGAGCTGCAGCTGCCATTTAGGGGCTTATGTATACTTACTTCAAATTGTGTTGCATAGGAATTAAGAGACCATTTTGAGCTCTCAAATCTGTGCTCATTCCGTTCTAGAGCCAGCTTCTTGCTTCCTTCAACTCTAGTGGAGAGCCAGCCCTGGGTCATCTAGTTGTATTCTACCTTCTCTGGCACTAACTACCTTTACTAGTTTCTTATACTACTTTAAAAACAGGTCTTGAGTTCACATTGAGATCTTCAAACCATCCTCTGTCTTGGTAGCACTGCCTGGCCTATTTCAGTGTCACACTCACTAAGCATCTCTTGAGCCAGATACTGGGATAAGTTGCTTTGAGAGTTGGGAGAGAAATATAAGATGTTCTTAGTCCCTTCAGAAGCTCCAAAGTCTCAAGAGAACTGAGATTAATATGTGAAACTGTACAAGATGGTATATAAAAATTTTTTTAGAAAAGGGAACGATCTTTTAAAATTTCTTAAGTTAGATTTACTATTTTACAGATGAGGAAATGGTGGCCCATAGAGTTAAATGATCTATCCAAGATCACACAACTGTCATTCTTAGTAGTGATTTGTAGTAGTGATTCTTAGGAGTATTTGATGGTATGCACACTGTAACTGCTAGAGTCATTCAGGAAAGATGAGACTGGCAAGCGCTGACATCAGTCAGGTGTGTGCAGAGTTGTGACTTGAACTGAACCTTGTAAGGAGAACAAGACGTGTAGGTTAAGAGAAGGAGCACATTTCAAGGGAGACAGAAGTTGTGCTTGTTGTGTTTGAGATAGGAAGGCTGGAATAAGAATCTAGACTGACAAAGTGGAAAATAAGGTAGAGTTGGAGCGAGGTAAGAAAAGCCTAGTTAAGAGTTTGATCTGGTCCTTAAGAAGCTTCGGAAGGTTTTTAGCGATGAAGAGCGTTGTCTGTGTGTAAAGAATTGCAAGGGGGCAAGTCTGGGATCCCAAGCCTGGATGGTGTCAAGTAATCTCTATCAACCTGGGATACTAGAAATGAAGGAGGGGAGTGGTTTGAAAGATACTGAAAGGAAAAATCACAGGATTTCTGCCTGTCAGATAGAGGCATTTGAGTAAGTCTCCTAAGAAAGAAATGCCCTTTGATTATGATCCTCAATGGAGAAGATCAGTGAAGAGCCAAACCCTAGTTTGCTTGGTTAGAGTTTTCACAAGTTGTAAGTCCTGTGTTTCAGTGCACAAGTCCCATTTCAGGGGTTCTAATTACCTAATCTAAATAAAAAACCAGGTATGCTAGTACAAGCCTGAAGGCCCCACC